ATATTTTAGATTTATTATAAATAATTTATATTATAACAAAAAAATTATTTATATTTATTGATAATTTATTTTAAAATATTAATATTTAATTTATAAATAATTATGATAAATAAAAATTGAATTTTTTAAGAATTTAAAAAAAAAATTTACAAACTCTTTTATTAAAGAAAAATCTCTAAAAACATTTTACAAGATAAAAGTTCATGTTTAATATATAAGAATTGATTTATTAAAAATTATAAGTGAAATGTGAGACTCACAACATTTTTATTTCTAATAAATTTTGGTTAATAAAAAAGTAAAACTAGCATTTCTTAATTTCATTTATGCTTTTAGTATACTAGTATAGTAATGTAAGAAATTAAAAAATTAGCATCAGAGACAGCATATTATAAAAGATTTTATAACGGCAAAAATGAATAATTTTTGTTATAGGAATTAAAAACATAAAACACGTATTTTTATAATTTAAGCCTACTTTTTTAATTAACCATTCCTTTCAAAATGGATAAGTAAGAGTTTTTTATTTATTGAAACAGTTGGTTTAGCAGAAAGAGTTTGAAGTAGTAAACATGGTTCTAAGCTGAAATACTATTGCCTTCAATGTAATCTTTACTGATAAAGTAAAACGCACTTATCATTATTGATAATACTCTACTGAAAAATCAGTCACAAATCATTACACACTCTTTTTTATTTCATGATCCCTAAAGTTTCTTGAGAAAAGCAAAAAATTTATACATATATAATAAAACTCTTTGAGTCAGAGTCTAATTAAGAATTCATAATCTCTATTTTGATTATTATTTTCAATTAGCCGGCAAAAGCAGGCTTGGCCGGCCATGTTATTGGAGTGAAACTGTACATCATGTGAAAGCTTCAAAGGAAACATCATGTTTCTCCCAAAAAACTATGGTATATATAACACTGAAACATGACACTGATGCCACAAGAAGTTAACTGAATAGAAGTAAAGTAGAGGAAATATGAGACAAGCTGGTGCATATTCAGGGTTACTGTGTGGTGGGATATCAGGAAGGACAGGGCCTCACTCTCTGCCCTTGGCAAGGATCAAGAAGATCATGAAGAAGTCTGGTGAAGATGTTAAAATGATATCAGGGGAGGCTCCCATTATTTTCTCCAAGGCTTGTGAGCTCTTCATTCAGGAGCTTACTACAAGGTCCTGGATCATGGCTATCCAAGGCAAAAGGAGAACTTTGCACAAAGAGGACTTGGCCTCCGCAGTTATAGCCACTGACATCTTTGACTTTTTGATCACTTTGGTTTCCAATTCTGAGAACAGCCATGCAATTGGTGCCACCACCAGTACTGTCATGGAAGTGGAAAGTATAGATTACTCCCAAGTCTTGAGCAACCATGATGAGTCTATTTTAATGCAAACTAAGAACTTTTGAGAATTTCAAAAATAAAGAGTTTTTTTTTCAACAGAGAAGCTTTCAGAACCACTTTTAGCTTGTATTAAAAAGACTCTAAGGTAACTACAAAATTTGAGTTCTATATATGTAATTATTGTAATATAAATATATGTAATATAGCTAAAGTAAGAACTTTATCTGTTGGTTATGCATCGTCATACTTGAATGAAATGTTGTGTTATGATCCTTACTTAATACACACATGAACTTTATGTTTATGGTTAATTAGACGGTTTTTGATACATCATAATACCAATAAAATAAAAAATAAAAAAAAGCCCCAACTGCTGTTTAAAGATAAAAGATTTAGCAATGGTGCCTGTGTGAGATTTCATGCTTGGCCTGTCATGTGGATGCTGCATTGCTGCTGCAGACACAGAAGACTGATATGGATGCAACTTGGTGCTTCAGAGAGATTCCATGAATCTGTGCAGCATTCACTAATCAAATATAAAGGCCTCCCTTCTGACCACAAATCCCATGACTAGAACACATCAAATAATATGTCATTTACGGTGATGTAAATCTGACTAACAATAAAGTAATAGTCGATTTACACTTACATGTCCAATAAGGATTATGCTTTTCTCTTACTGATTGCTTCCTACATTTTTCTTTCCGGATATTATCTCCAACAACAAAATGCCAAAGCTAAACATATCAGATTTCACTGAGAATGTTCACATCTATTGCATATTTTGGTGCCATATGTCCACTAATGAACAAATATAATAAGGAGCATTATTAACAACAAAGTTAAGATACCATGTAACAAAAAATTAAGGAATGTCAAGGATCCATACTAAGTTCCACCCACCCTATGTGTAGTTGCTGCATTCTGGCCTCCGCACAAAGTTCTAATCAAGTCAAAGTCTGATATCTTTGAAGTCATCTCACTATCAAGTAAGATATTACTAACTTTCAGATCTCTATGAATGATTTTGAGTCTAGAGTCTTGATGAAGATTGAGAAGGCCCCTCGCAATACCACAAATTATATTGAAGCACTAAGGCCAATCCAAAAACATTCTGTGTTTGATCTAGTGAACTTTTCGTATTAATACAAGTTAATATTTGTGACATTCAATTCAACAAGATAATTGTATAGACATAGACGGACTACAACTACTTTCAACAATTTTAACATGGACCCCGATTCCATACCAAATATAAAGAAATCCAAGCTTTCAACTTGTCTTCATTCAGAATGTACCATCCATGAAGCCTTACAAGATTTCGGTGTTGAAGTTTGACTATTAATTTAATTTTTAAATTCCTTGATCCCTTGTCCAGAACCACAAGAAAGTTTTTTAACAGCAATTTCTTGCCCATTCTCCAATGTTCCCTGCCATTTAGCAATTTCAGTGCTAAGTCACACAAAAGATTCCTTCGTTATGTGATGATTCTTAAATTTTAGCTCAACATGTGTATTACCTTGTAATCTTGTATACAGGTCCAAAACCACTTTCTCCAAACTTAGTTTTGCTTAAAAAGTTATCAGTGGCACTAGCTATGCTAGATAGGTCAAACAATGAAAGTTCAGGAGCTTCTTCTTGTTCTTCATTGTAAATTTGTAATGTTCCACTATTAACATTCTCTGGTATCACGCAAAACTCATTGTGCAATAGAAGAATAAGTGAACTACTTGTTTGGACCTTCACTAAGAAAAATATAAAACAAAAAATCTGATGAAAAAATAAGTTCAATTCCAAATGACTCGGCTAACAAGTTGGGGAGTCAGAGGACTAATTTTGTAAACTACAATGGTAATTGGGAAGGTAAAAAAGTATTACACGAACTTGTATGCCATTCAGCTTTTAACTTAGAAAGTCATTAATACTTATGTACCACAATGGACAACGTTGGTGAAACTATAGATTATACAGTGACTTTTTCTGATTTCTAACACTACTGAAGTACATGTTGCACTCGGCTAGTGGCCCAACAAAGGATTTGAAAGAGTAAGCAATCATTAATTGTGGTAATGTGGTCTACTGCAAGAATGCAATGACGGTTTTCTCGATGATGAATATTGTGTAATTTAGGATTTCTAGTCAAATAACATATCATTAAGAACAGTGTTGCTCTTTTTTTCTTTTCTTTTTCTTTTTAAAAGGAAAAGATAAAATTCATTTCATACACTAGTTAAATAAACACAGATCTCTCCACATTATCACATTTCGCACTGTTAATCTATCATATCTTCCTTATTTTTCATCAATTCCTCCTGTGATGTCAGTTTATCAACCAGTAGTCATAAAACATTGTTCTGTTAATTGACCATCCCCTATTGAAGAAAGGTCATTTATCTATCCAACAAATGATAAAAAATGGTTTCAGTCAATCAAAGTAAGAAGTCAATCTAATTTTCACTTTAAGTAACTAAACAGTTCTATCTTTATCTAACAAAATGTAAATGTTATCATACTGAGGATGGAGCAATCTACCTTCTAAATTTGTCCTCCATTTTTTGTGCATATAACAGAAAACAATGATCATCCCAGAAATTATAGCAACAATACTCCCAAATCCCAATTATTACTCCTACTATCTTTGGCACACCATGCCTGTGTTAAGTCTCAATTATACCTCTTTTTGGTTGAGACTTAGTGAACTAATCCACTCATCCTTTGCACCATTGCAAGACAATTGTCCCCTTTTTGATTCACTTTTTGTGCAGATATAGCTAACCCATATTTAGCTAACAATAACTTAATACACCTCATTTTTTGTGCAGGTATTGAGCTAATGAATTGAGGATGGAAGACCTTAGGATTGGAAATCTAAGGAGTAGGGAGCAGAGCAAAGTGGCTGCGCCGGGCGCAAGATGACCCGCGCCGGGCTTGATAAGAACAGAGTGTTCCACCTCTGAAAGTCACGCCTGCCCCGGGCCCGAGACTACCTCCGCCGGGCGCGATCGAGACAGAGAGTACCTGTTTTAAGATAGAGCAGAGAACAACAGTGACAACATATTGGCTAAGGCTACATCTGTATATGGTGATGCCCGTAAGCATGTGGAAAAGGAACATGAAGAATTAAACACCATGTAATTAAGTACTTATCTTTTATTCTATTCTATGACCATACGAATAGTTTGTTTAATATAATATATGCATTTATACACACCTTACTATCCAAATTTTCTTGTTAGTGAATATAATCTGTAAGTTGGCTTATATAATATGTTCTTCAAGTTTTTACCTGTTCAAGAGACATGCATTAATCTTCATCTCTTTCCAGCTCCATTAATTTTCATCTCGATTAATCAGATCCTTTTGCATTTACTTGCAGCTCGACTTTCATATTAATCTTAAATGGCAATATTAGCAACTATTTATGCGTGTTTGCAAGCTGAGTGACAGGTTTATTTAAAGACCTCAAAACTTCATCTTCCCTAACTTTACTTCCTCCAATGACAACATATTGGCTAAGGCTACATCTGTATATGGTGATGCCCGTAAGCATGTGGAAAAGGAACATGAAGAATTAAACACCATGTAATTAAGTACTTATCTTTTATTCTATTCTATGACCATACGAATAGTTTGTTTAATATAATATATGCATTTATACACACCTTACTATCCAAATTTTCTTGTTAGTGAATATAATCTGTAAGTTGGCTTATATAATATGTTCTTCAAAATAAGTGCGGCATGTGTGTTTGATTGTAGTGACTTTTGCAAATTAGTTATTACAACATACATCTTATGATTCAATTAAGTTAATTTAAAAGAGTTAAATTCTTAGTGTTGCAAGTGTGAGCAAGATAACCTTAAAGAGGTGACTCCAATTTTTACTGTTATGAGAATGTAACATTAGTTTGTTTTTTAAAATATTAAATTTAGTGGTTTATTTTGATAATGATTAACATATACCCTTATTTCTTTACCATTAAAGATTATTCACTGCTTAATTTGTTCTTCAAAGTAAGTGTGACATGTGCGTTTGATTATAGTTACTTTCATAAATTAATTAGTATATCATGCATCTTATGATTCAATTAAGTTGTTTTAAAAGGGTGAAATTAATAATATTGCAAGTTACAACTCTTAAAGCAAGATAAGCCTAAAGAGGTGACTCTAATTTTTACTGTAATGAGAATGTAAATTAATCTATTTTAAAAAAATTAAATTTACTAGTATATTTCGATAATAATTTATATATTCCCTTATTTCTTTACCATTTAAGATTATTCACCCTATCTTTTATTCTATTCTATGACCATACGAATAGTTTGTTTAATATAATATATGCATTTATACACACCTTACTATCCAAATTTTCTTGTTAGTGAATATAATCTGTAAGTTGGCTTATATAATATGTTCTTCAAAATAAGTGCGGCATGTGTGTTTGATTGTAGTGACTTTTGCAAATTAGTTATTACAACATACATCTTATGATTCAATTAAGTTAATTTAAAAGAGTTAAATTCTTAGTGTTGCAAGTGTGAGCAAGATAACCTTAAAGAGGTGACTCCAATTTTTACTGTTATGAGAATGTAACATTAGTTTGTTTTTTAAAATATTAAATTTAGTGGTTTATTTTGATAATGATTAACATATACCCTTATTTCTTTACCATTAAAGATTATTCACTGCTTAATTTGTTCTTCAAAGTAAGTGTGACATGTGCGACGTGTTTTCCCAAGCCTGGCGCATTGAATGTTTGAACGTTGAAACCCTAGTTAAGCCCGACACGAAACGGCAGCGCCCGACGCCACACCAGATGAGGGCAACTCTTGGGCTCCTACTGATATGGCGCCCGGCGTGGAAAATGGCACGCCCGGCGCGCCCCTTCAGAGGCCTTATACTCTCAACTTCTTCTCCCACGTTCCCACTCTCATCTCTCAAACTACCAACCTTCTCAACTCCTCTCCCACTCTCCACTCTACACTCTTAACTCTCTTCTCCCTCACGCGAAATCCCTTCCCCTTCTCCCTCACACTCTACTCACGTCTTCCATCTCAAGGGCGCACATTCGTTCTTCTTTTCCTCCTAGCACTCCGAACTCAAGTAGGTGTCCACACTCACTGTTTCTCTTTTCCGTTATACCTTGTTCTTGTTTTTCTTGATTTTGGGTCTCCTTGAGGGTTTCGTTAACCCACATTGGGGTTTAGGGCTCAAATGTTTTCACAAAAAGTGACC